CAATATCAGCCGTACAACTCCTTTCAGCGATCCAGTCAGCCACGCCGTGATTTCTCTCCATATCGTAGGCCAGGGCAGCGACAAAATATGAGGCGACTTACGTGCTTACGTCCCGTAAAGAGAAAAATGTGAAGTGATGAATGAAAGAGAATGTGTTTTCTGTCATGCTCACCCGGAAGTGATTAATAAATATAGTGTGTAACTTAAAAATTTGTTGTTGATTACTAGTGCATTTGTTTATTAGTATGGCCCAATTATGCATTTCGTTTCCCTCCACAACCTATAATGTCTACCAAATTATTTTCATATATATGGCTTAGCACGCTTTTCAGTATGACATGATAAATAATGCCCCAAGCACATGCAATCCATTTGGCTCTTCCTGTTAGTGATCGATGAATATATATATTGTTATGCTATGAATACTGATTATAATCTCCATAAAAATCCAAAAAATGCATAAAGCCCGTTTTTGTTTTGTTTTCACTCGTATATGATCCGGGGGTGTTGGCTTGAAACAGGGGAACAATTTCTCCTCCCGGTTTATCTGGGTCTTGCTGCCATCCACGCCTTCCAGGGGGCTTTTACGTACGCATTATTGGTTACTTTCCTTAGCCCTCGGTCAATGCTATGCAGTAAATTTGTGAGGAAAAAGTAATACATACAAGGGAAAAATATTTATGAAAGTTGAAGAGTTAATATAGTGCATCACACTCAGGCGTATTCTCATGGGTTTCACATATGGTATTATTAGATTTGACGTTACCAAGTAGTGCTCGCATGTGGTAGCGTTCTTTTTCCTCATTTTCCAGATTTTGAAAGAATGTAAAAACAGTTTTGACCCCTTCATACGCCTTAAGACAGAGGGTTCTCCTAGGACGAGAAGGGTGACGAAAGACCTAAGTCCCCTGGAGGTTATGAATGGGATGGCAGCCCCTCCGTGTGATTTGAAGTTTATTGAAAAAGACATTAACAGGCTAGAGACGTTGGAAATTGCAGAACTTCCTTTTCGAGACACAGAATCGTTCTGTGCGGGTCAAGTTCACTTGCATACCCAGTACTGGGAGAATATAGTCGAGCAGGCCCCTTACGATCAAGCGCACGAAGTGTTAGAATGGCTGCACAATAAAGTCTCCGTACACAAGTACTTTCAGCACTTCCAAGGGAATTTTAAGAACGNGGAAAATCTTTGAGAATGATAAGTCATGTACAAATTTCGTGCCATTCATTGACAAAACCCTGGCAGACAGAGTATTTAATGGCGCCATATCTGTTATTGGTAAGGTGGGAGAAGTGGAACCCCCGCACCTCGTTATGCCGCTCACCGTCGAGCCCACAAAACCACGCCTGTGTAATGGTAACAGATTTTTAAACTTATGGATGGTGGATAAACCGTTTCGACTGGATAACCTGTCCCAATTGCCGCGATACCTGGAGAAAGGTACCTACCAAACAGTCTTAGATGATAAATCGGGATATGATCACATCCTGCTAGAGGAGGCAAGCAGAACGTTCTTTGGCTTCAAGTGGAAAGGGTGATATTTTGTCTCTAGCACTATCCCATTTGGGTGGAAACTATCCGCTTGGATCTACCACTCTACTGGTTTGGTCGCCATGCACTACTTTCGTTCCCTTGGTATTCCCTGCTCTTTGTATATTGATGATCGACACATAGGAGAATTACACAGCCATGAGCGTTTAAGATCACCCCTCCCTGCAAGCACCGTGGAAAAGCGCAAGCTTGATAACGCTTTGAGGGCCGTCTACATTGTAGCGTACACCCTTTGCCGCCTGGGGTATACAATCGGATTGGCTAAGAGTAGCGTAACCCCCAAGAAGCAYGTTCGATACCTTGGATTCGTCTGTGATACAGAAAAAGAGGCMTTTTACRTACCCACCGACAAGCAAGAGAACTTTCTGTCTTTAACAAYGTCCATTTTGGCTAAACGACACGTTACAGTTCATACCCTACAACYCCTGGTAGGAAAATGCATRTCATTCYATTTGGCAGTTCAAGACGCACGTTTGTACACAAACGAGATGAGCATGGCCATGGGAAAGGCAACAAAAACATCGAAACCCGTCCACCTGTCCCCAAGCCTCCGACGAGAGATCGAACACTGGAGCTCAAGTGAAGTTGTGTCAAAATGCGGAAAATGGCGGTCTGAGAAGCACTCCCAATTTGTGGTTTTCTCTGACGCGTCAGGTTTTGGCGGGGGCGCCCTATTTCCGATGCAGAGTCAAATCCCAGTCTCTGGGACCCCTCCATTAGACAGTGTGATATCGCGGTCAAGGAAACGAAAGCGCTTACCAACGCAATTACCTCATTTGGTGAGTCTCTGCTCAATGCCCGGGTTGATGCTTTTGTCGACAATCAGAGTCTAATCCAAGCATGGAATTCACAATCAGCCAGATCCGGTCCTCTTATCAACGCCCTAAAGGAACTTTACTGCACCGTATCAGCCTTTAATATCCACCTATCCCTGTTTTACATACCATCAGCAAGAAATCCTGCTGACCCGCCCTCGAGAAGACTCTCACCGGCCGACTGTAAACAGCATTTGTACAGCCAGAGAGTCTTCCGCCAACCTCCACAGCCGCTAAACTTCATAGCCTGCGAGTCTATCATCAAGTACAATATTGGAAAGGGAACGCTTTACCACCTGACGAATGGGGATGGAAACTTATCGATGGTAAGTTCCAAGCTGTAAGAACTGAGCTACCACCTGCACATGAATCAATTCTAGAGCTCATCAGATGCAAATACAAAACGGATTGCAACACTCTAAGATGCTCCTGTCGAAAGAATGGATTGAGTTGCACATCAGCATGTGGTNATATCCCATGATACATTGCAAAACCATTCAAAATGGCGGGCTTGTGATATGGACTATGGTGTATAGGATATGTTTATGACTTTTTATGAGTTTTTATCTTTTCAGCTACCCAAAGAGTCAGTGCTGGTTAGCACTATGCCGTGTGCTATTCAATTAAAAAGCGAGTTGGTTTACACGTGAAATAGTTATTTACGTCTTTATAATGCCCCAATAGTTATGTTCTCCATTTCTGTAAAAACGTTTTTGAGCAATTCCCTTCTCAAATTTCTGGAAAGTCGAATTTTGATTTAACAAAAGATCTCATGCTTGCTAAGACGTAGACAAAATTCCGATAAAACAGACAAAAGACAAAGACAAGAGCAACGATTTTTTCGCTTCCGACTTGTAAGAGATTTATTTGGCTTTTTCTGTGAAACGTTGTCGTGTCCTTGTGTATAAGCTTTGCGGCGATTAAGTCCTTATGGACCGTTGCTGTGGGGCTATGCATATGTTCCGGCATGCTTTTGCGGGGATTGTCCTTTCGCTTTCGACTTGTTATAGATTTTAGGTGGCTTTTTTCTGTGAAACGTTGTCGTGTTCTTGTGTATAAGATTTGCGGCGATTAAGTCCTTATGGACCGTTGCTGTGGGGCTATGCATATGTTCCGGCATGCTTTTGCGGGGATTG